GAGTTTGGTCTGCTATTTCTGCTACCATACCTAAGCTACATACTTGCATATCATTAGTAGAAAGGCTTACTGTGTTTCAGCTATAGGGCCAATCTGTTAAGCTTGTAAAAATGCCATTGAAAGCAATAGTTGCACACAGGTGGAGGCTGAGGAAAAACAAATGGAAAAACTGTCTGAAGACAGTTAAGACTTCAGATTTGGTTGTTCCACAAGAAAAAGGTTTTCTGAATTTTTGAATTGTTGTCATCTCTTAATTAAATTAAGAAGAAATGTTGTTGTTACAGTACTAAAATTTGTCTCAAGGCATTTCTCTGAATTCCTGTTCTGTTTTGTACAATTGTGCCAAAGTTTTTTTTTATTTTCTTGTTACCTTTGCTTTTATATAAATGAATATGCCATTTCCACTAGCTCCGTAAGTGTGACATTCAGAACTGATGTTTAACTTAATTCAAATTTAAAGAAAGATTCTAATACCTAAAAGGTATTATCCATAATATTCATCTGCTGCTTGACATATATATCGTTTTAAGTCTAGTCCCACAGTAGTGCTGCTGCATTTGACTGCTGATTAAGTATCTACAAATCTGTTTTTGGTGCTGCTGTTCCTCTTTCGGGCAAGTAGAGTTTGATGAGGCTGGAAAAGCATCCACTATTGGTGCATTCTGGCATATCTGCATCAAGACGTAAAGGATATGTTGCATATAGGGCTGTAAACGAATAGTCAACTAGACAATTAACCAATAAGCATAGGCTTATCGATTAATAATTTAGACTGCTCACATTTCCCTCCCTCCCCCCCCCCCCCTTGCTGCCTCTGAGCAGGTGCTGGGAGGAGCTGCTTAAAAGGTGATTTCCCCATCCCAGCACCAGCTCTGCACTGCTGACTGCTTCCTGACACCCCCTCCCCTCCCATGCAAGGGTGGACGGGGGCAAGGGAGGCTGCCACAAAGCAGCCCCTGTCTGTGGGGAGTCCGAGCTCCCCGCAGGCAGAGGCTGCTTTGCGGTAGCAGCCTCTGTCTACAGGGGGTCGGAGCTCCTCATGGACAGAGGCAGCTTCGCGGTAACAGCCTGTGTCCATGGGATGTCCGAGCTTCCTGAGGAGGAGCCTCTGTGGGGAGCTTGGACTCCCCATGGATAGGGGCTATTGCCACGCCACATTGCTGCCTCTGATGTGGAGGCAGCAGTGCGGAGGTAGAAAGGGGGCAGGCAGATCCAGTACTCGTGGGGAGCCGGCTTAAAGTCAGCTCCTTCTCCCCACCTCCCCCCATTGCTGCCTCTGATCCAGAGACAGAAAGGAGCAGGGGAATGTGTGTAGTTGACAAGATGAACCAATAAGCCTAGGCTATTTGTTAATTCTGTAGTTGACTACACTTTGACATCCCTAGTAATTTGGTTTACAGGTCCTTTATAATTCATGGAAAGAATATATGCAAGGAAAGAATATTGATTGTCATTGAGAGAGACCCTTCCTCAAATATGAAAGTACAGGTTGAACCTCCTAAATCCTGGACTCTCTGTTGCTGGATCAGAGAGCCCTGGCACCCAGGAGTATGGACTGGTTGGGAGCACCATCCCTTGGGTACCCTGGCTGGAAGGGGAAGCAGCAGGACCAGCGAGCCGTGTCCCTTGGGATCCCTGGACAGGCACAGCAAAAGTGGGACTGCCAACAAGCCCCGTACCTGGGCAGCCCCAGTGGGAGGGGATGTGTGTGTGGCAGAAGTGGGACAGCTGGTGAGAACCGTCCGCGGTGCAGCAGAAGAGGGGCGGCTGCAGATGGCAAGTCCTGTCCGTAGGGATTCCCAGCTGGACAGAGGCAGTGGGCTGGAGCCCAAGTCCAGGCCCTGCTGCAGGGTTGGAGCCCAGAGGCAGTGGGGATGAAGTGGAGCCAGCTTCAGGGAGGGGGAGCATCCTGGGAAGCCGGTGGCTGGGGACCTCCCCATATCCAGTAAATTCCCTCTTTTGGAATGAGTCAGGTCCCCATGTTGTCAGTCCAAGGAGGTCCAACCTGTGCATCTCTTCACTTGTAAATGTATAATATTTGATTGAAACATGTCAGAATGGAACCCCAGTTTTGCATTTTTATACAAAGTAATTTTTCAGAGGAGAACCTCTGTTTAAGGTCCCTTATTTAAATGTTCAAACATCAGGGAATAAAACTACAGTTTTCATAGTTGCAGTTTGGCTACATTGCAAGCTCTTTGTTTTTGGTTCTTTTCATTTTGATTGGTTGGCTGGAGGTTTTTATAGGGAGGTGTCAAATGTATTTCATAAAATATATTGTGCACTATAGTTGAACTGAGAACACTAACACTTTCATTTCCTGAGCTAAATACAACAGTATCAGTTATGCCATAAGGGCTTTCTATGATATTCCAATGCATAAATTTCCTTTAGCACCCAGCTTGGGAGGGAAAAGCTGCAGCTGATGGAATCTAATGTCATATTGTACATTTTTTAACTTTTAATCTGTATTAATTTAGAGAAGAATGTTATTTAATCGTTTTCCCTAGTATAACATTTTTTGCACCTATAACGGAGCAGGATGAAAACTAATTTGTAGTGTTGCATGCTTAGCTCTAGAGACCAGACTGTCATTTATGCCAAACCCTTTGTCATTTTGTAGTTTAGAGAGTAGTTGTTTATCAGACCTCATTAGATGGGAATCTTATTTTCAGATAAAAGGCAAGCACTTTGGACCAGATATGTAAGCAACTAGGTACCTAGGCACCTTTGAAAATCCCAGGAGACACCTATCTGTATCAGTAGGTCCATACAGCTCTCTCTAGATAGCAAATTTTTTCCTGCGGGATGACAGAATGATGTCAACATGCCTTGCATGGTTAGGTGGTAAGAGTGTAACTGTTGAAATGGTTAACCAGTAAGCATCCGTTTAACTGTTTCCATTATGGTTACATTCTTTGCTGGTGCAGGTTGCCTCCCAACTGCTGCCCTGCTCCCAACTGCCACCCCATGCTGCAGGCTCTGCAGTATAAGGCTTATGCTGCAGAACACGCAACACAGCCAGCTTCACGGGAGTGGGGCTGGCAGCTGGGAGCTAGTGTGTGCTGAGAACTAGCTTGTAGTACAAGTTGGCTTCTGGCTGCCAGCCCTGATTCCAGGGAGCCAGCTGCTGCCCTGTATTACAGGCTGTCACAGAGCCTGCATTGGGGAATGACAGTCAATTCCCTGTGAGTAAGTCGAGAGGCACAGCCTGGGAGCTAGCTTTTCCCTGTGCTGTGGACTCTGCAGTATAAGACTTACACTGCAGAGCTTGCAACGCAGCCGGCTCCCTAGGAGCAGGGCTGGCAGCTGGAGCTGTTGTGCACCGGGAGCCAATTTAGCCTATGCTATAATATAGTATAAGGGTATGTAAAAGGATGAATGACACTTCCTTATTCACTTTCCCCATACCATTCATAGACCTCTACCATACCTCCCCTCAGTTGTCCCTTTTCTAAACTGATCATTCTCAGTCTTGTTAACTTCTACTCATACAGAAGCTAAGGAGGGGTATGAAACATTTTTGTTGTCCTCTCTGTACCTTTTCCAATTGTAATACCGTAGATTCCAGCGTACAAGATGACTTTTGATGTTAAAAAACATCCCCCAAAAATTGGGGGTCGTCTTGTACGCCGGGTATACATCCCAGGCCCGCCTGGGATGCCCCCCCACCGGCTTCCCCCGAGGCTTTGCAAAGCTGCTGCGGCTTTGCTCCCGGTGCCTCTGGTCTGCTGGGGACCGTCTCCAGCAGACCAGGGACACCCGGAGCAAAGGAGGCGAAGGGGCGCTGGGGTATAAGACGAAACCCTATCTTTTAACTAAAAAATTAGGGGGTCGTCTTATACGCCCAGTTGCCTTATACGCCGGAAAATACGGTAGATGATGTCCTGTTCAGCTGCTAGGTTGACAGAATAATCTTCCGTCTACTTAGCTACTGCATCTCAGAGGTGAGTTCTCTGTGGTGATGGAAAAACCTCTTCTTTTGCTATAGCATCATCTATATTATGGCTGTGCCACTATAATATTTTAGGGTGTGTCTGCACTGCACTGTAATTAGAAATAAGATATGCAATTTGAGCTATGCAAATTGAGTATCTTCTTTTGATGCTATTTTGAAATAGCTTATTTCGTCATTTGCACTGTCTACACAGCGCCAAATTTCAAAATAAAGCGCTATTCCGAAACATCCCTTATTCCTTACAGAATGAGGTTTACACGGACGTCAGAATAATGAGCCTGAAATAACAGGCTTGCTTTGAAGACGTGGGATAGCTATTTCGGGGTACTCCGGTATCCTGAAATAGCATTGCAGTATAGACGTATCCTTAATGAGCATGCATCCTGAGTTTATAGTCTTGTCCGCGGTAGCAATAGTGGAAACTGCAGGGTAAATAGAACTCAGACTTTTTTACCACCTAGATTTAGCAACTAGATTTAAGAATTTGAGTGTTAGAAATACATGTTGTGTCTATTGCACCAATGGTGAAGCTGAAAAGAGAGAATCGTCCCAATTTTCTTAAGATAGCATGCAGCTTGAAGTTGCTAAGTCACTTAAGTTTATCAGCTTCTAGTAGAATGGCATGGGCAAACTTACATTTAAATGCCCAGATGTTATTTGAAAGTTATGTTTTGTGGTGACTGACAGGAGATATGTGAAGCATCTTTTATACATTTTTGAAGCTAGCATCATTACTTTTTTTAATATCAGGTAATTATTTTCCATTGATACTCAATCAAAATGAGGTAGCTGCTTGTTTAATTATTTCTGGGACATGGATGTTTCAATAGAGTACCAGCGTATATCTGTTTGTTTTGGATAAACACACTTGCTGGTTGTGCAGTTGTATCACTGAATAGTGAAGTGGCAAACCAGTGGTATTTTAGCTATTTTAATTAGACCTCCTGAGAATCACACCATTTGGATGACTGGGAAAGTTCAGCTCCAAAATAATATTGTTTGGTTGCATACTCAATCAGACCTTAGTGTGGTATCCTAAATTGTGCATCTTTTAGATGTACATAAGAATAAAGTAGGTTATAGAAAATATAGTAGCCCTTGCAGAAAGGAAACCTTATCTGCAAACTGGATACTTGATACGTCAGCTTCCTTATAGTAGCATCCCAATTTTTTAAACTATTTCCATAACTTGAGACAATTTATTCTTTTCCTCCGAAAAGCTACCAGTAGTCTAAAGGCTACTAACAATGGAAAATTTAACTCTAACAATTTGTCATATTTGCTTACAGCTCACACTCAAATACACTTTAATACTTGTGTGTGTGTGGTAGACACATCCATCACCTGTTTCTGAGCAATTTTGCCAATATTTTTCCATACCTAGTCTGTGTTTTTGGTATATGGTGGGGTTTTTTTTAATCTTACTATATGAGGTACTACAAATTAGTCTTTCTGCCCCCCCCCCCCCAAATCAGAGCCCATCGAAGGTTATTTGTCTACTCAGCTCTTTCTCATCATATATAAAGTGTGTGTGTGTGTGTGTGTATGTATGCGTATATATGTAGAGAGAGATCCAATATATGAACATTGTTGTCAGCATTGCTATAAATTAGATAACTTTTTGTATAAAAGTTTCTTTACAAAGTTGAAACCTAATGTCAAGATACAGGTTCTGTTGAAGTTGGTTTTGATATGCTGTTAAATTATCCTGTGCTCTGATAAAAACAAGTTTGTCACCTCCAAGCTGTGATGTATTAATGCTTTATGAAGACTGTTCTACAATAGGTTTGTTTTTCTTCCCTAGGTTTGCCCCAAGATCCCATGTGCCTGATGTTTTCTTTGATCATCTCTCTTTCACTAGCCTGAAAATACAGCTTTAAAAAGGATTCCAGACATTTTTGATCTGCCAGAAAAAGCTGTTACAAATGGACAATATGTCTATTACTAACACACCAACAAGTAATGATGCTTGTCTGAGCATTGTTCACAGCTTGATGTGCCATCGGCAAGGTGGAGAAAGTGAAACTTTTGCAAAACGAGCAATTGAAAGCTTAGTTAAAAAACTAAAGGAGAAAAAAGATGAATTGGATTCTTTGATTACAGCTATAACTACAAATGGAGCTCATCCTAGTAAATGTGTTACAATACAGAGAACATTGGATGGAAGGCTTCAGGTTAGTCCACATAGAGACCTGGATATTTTTTCTACTTATGCTAGCTGAGTGATAGCAAAAGTTTGTGCAGTAGGATTGAGAGATACCAAAGATGAGTGGTTATATGGCATAATTTTCCCCAGCTTTCAGCCAGTAGAAACCCTTGTGCCAACATAGTTTGTTGGATTTATATCCCTTTAAGCTTTACCATTTTTCTACAAATACCTTTTTTTAAAATGTGCATGCCACATGTTACATAGAAGGACAATTTCATCCTGCTAAGGTGTTAATTTTCTAATCTAGAGATACAATTCTACAGTTTCTCCTATATTTTTTATCTACAGACTTTTGGAAATTTATGATTTGCAATTTCATATAATTTGTGAATTCCCACCATTTCTGTTTTGGCCATTATTTTATTTCCATATTATTTGTTACATTCTTAATTTTTTTTTCCTGGGAATAATCACAGTATTAATTTAAATATCCTCTGGCACTTTTTTTTTAAATTTTCTCCTTCAGCCAGAGTTTTGGAAGATAAGTATTTTTAAAAACATGACAGGAGAAATTTTTAGTGAATGGTATCTGCTTGGTTCTAGCCAACCTTATTCTGTTAGTTGGAAATGAGGGAAAGATAGTTGGTGGTTTTTTTTTTTTTTTAAACTTTCCTAATAGACTTTTGTGTCTTTAACTTTCTAGGTGGCTGGTCGAAAAGGGTTCCCTCATGTGATCTATGCTCGTCTTTGGAGGTGGCCTGATCTTCACAAAAATGAACTTAAACATGTTAAATATTGTCAGTATGCTTTTGACCTAAAATGTGACAGTGTCTGTGTAAATCCTTACCATTATGAGCGTGTAGTGTCACCTGGCATTGGTAAGTAATTTGTCAACGAAAGTGGAACAGTGGAAGTAAATTGTAAATATTTTTCCTTATGATCTAGAAAATGTAGACCTAAATTTAAATATACGTGCATAATGACATTGTTAAAGACTAAATATACATGGAATTACTTCTACCTTTTATTTACTGGAAATATTTACTGAAGTTTAACTTTGGAATAAACATGGGGCATAGAAATAAAATTTACCGTTCATGTTTTAGCCTTTCAGAACTGAACATGAAGTGGTACTTCATGTAAACTGTAAGAAAGTGATTTTAATTTGTGTATTTCTGTGATTCTTAGGCATTCTGTGTAGTCAATAACCTCACATTAGTTTGTTTGTGTATATGTTAATGAATTCGTTTGATTCACTGAAATCTTGCAAATGAAATTAATTGTTTTTAAAAGCTATTTTTACTTTTTAAAAGATTGCTTTTTCTTTTTAAAAGATCTCTCAGGACTGACATTGCAGAGTTCTGGTAAGTAGTAAATTGTTTATAATTTATAGATTTCTATGTAAAAAGAACTAGATTTCACTTTAAATACAATATTCACAAATGTTCTCACATGCTGAAGAAAAGGGAAAGCAAAGATAGAAATGTACTTCTTTTAGTTAAGAGGCCTTTCGAAGCAGTGTTACGTGAAGCAATCTGGTGTGTGTTAGGGATGATAGCTTACAGTCATTTAAACAATTAACCAATAAGTCTGAGTTTATTGGTTATACAAAAACTACACGCACACCCACCCATCCTTGCTGCCTCTGTATCATAGGCAGGAAGGTGGCGGAGGAGGGGCATGGGAGCTGGCTTCCTGCGTGTGCCTGTTCCTGCAGAGCTGCCTGCTGCCTCGCAGAGAGGCAGCAGCACAGGGGATAGGAGGGAGCTGGTGCTCAGGGGAAGTCAATTTTAAATCTGCTCCTCTCAAAGAGCATTGGCCTGCTACCCTGCGTTGCTGTCTGACACATGCAGCAGTGCAGAGTGGCAGGGAACTGTCCTGGCGTGGAGCTTGGGAGTACACTGAGGGGAGCATTTTAGTAACAGTGTGACCGCTAAATCGTTGCAGCTACTCTATTACTAAAATAAACTATATCTAACATCCCTAGTGTGTGCCTCAAAAAGTTAGAGTTGAAGCTTTGAGCTCCCCTTTCATTGTTGCTCTAGTTTCACTCGTTTGTAACTTTTTAAAACACTCATTTGGGATCAGTTACAAGCCAAAAAAATTTTTTGTGTTTATATTTTAACTGAATAAGTCTGGCAGTATAATATCTTTACCAGCTGAGTTAGATGATAGGAAAATACTCTCTTCCTGTGTAAAATAGTATTAAAGATAAGACTGCACAGCTAATTACAAAGTCTGAACTCTCAGCATACTTGCCACAAGTCTGAAGTTAAACATAAGAATAGTCATACTGGGTCAGACCAAAGGTTTATTTAGCTCAGTATTCTGTCATCTGACAGTGGCCAATGCCATTTGTCCCAGAGGGAATGAACAGAACAGGTAGTCGTCAAGTGGTTCCTGCCCTATCATTCATTCCCAGTTTGACAAACAGAGGCTAGGGACACCGTTCCTACCCATCCTGGCTAATAGCCATTGATGGACCTAACCTTCATGAATTTAACAGAGTTCAAAAAAGAACTAGATAAAGTCCTGGTCTTTACAATCTCATCTATCAAGGAGTTCCACGGGTTGACTGCATTGTGTGAAGAAATGCTTCCTTTTGTTTGTTTTAAATCTGTTGCCTATTAATTTTATTTGGGAACTCTATTTCTTGTGCTATAGGAACAAGTAAATAAGTTTTTCTTGTTTCAGAGGGGTAGCTGTGTTAGTCTGTAACTGAAAAAACTTAAACAGTAAATAGTCCTGTAGCATGTTAGAAACTAACAAAAAATGTGAATAGTGTCATGAGCTTTCGTAGGTACAACCCACTTCTTCAGATGAATGGAGTTGAGGAGTTCAGGGTACAAATAAATATCGCAGAAAGAGAAGGGGAAAAATGGGAGGGGGGAATTGTCATTTAGCATGGACACTCTAATTGTGGCTAATAAGAGTGAGCTCTAAGTACTCGGTGCTTAGCTTTTTATGTCATTATGGTGTGGAATGTAACAGCACATCCACTTGAGGTCTTTGTTTAAACCTCTATTCAAGGTGTCAAACTTGTAAATGAAACCAGTTCTGCAGCTTCTCTTTCCAGCAGGCTTTTGAAATTGCTTTCCCCTCCTTCATCTCCCCATCCCCTCTCTTTCTCTGCTATTTATTTGTATCCGGGATTCCTTAACTCAGTGGTCACCAACCAGTAGATTGGGATCTACCGGTAGATCTTGGTGCCTCTGACCATGGCTTAGACAAATTGGAGGACTGGGCCACAAGAAATCTGATGAGGTTCAACAAAGACAAATGCAGAGTGTTGCACTTCGGAAGGAAGAATCCCAAGCATTGTTACAGTCTGGGGACCAACCAGCTAAGTAGTAGGTCTGCAGAAAAGGACCTGGGGATTACAGTGGATGAGAAGCTGGACATGAGTCAACAGTGTGCACTTTTAGCCAAGAAGGCTAATGGCATATGAGGTTGCATTAGGAGGAGCATTGCCAGCAGATCCAGAGATGTGATTATTCCCCTTTATTCGGCTCTTGTGAGGCCACATCTGGAGTATTGTGTCCAGTTCTGGGCCCCCCACTACCAAAAGGATGTGGACACATTGGAGAGGGTCCAGCAGAGGGCGACCAGAATGATTAGGGTGCTGGAGCATATGACCTGTGAGGAGAGCCTGAGGGAGTTGGGTCTTTTTAGTCTGCAGAAGCAAAGAGTGAGGGCAGATTTGATAGCAGCCTTCAACTTCCTGAAGGGAGGTTCCAAAGAAGCTGGAGAAAGGCTGTTCACAGTAGTGACGGATGGCAGAACAAAGAACAATGGTCTCAAATTGCGGTGGGAGAGGTCCAGGTTGGATATTAGGAAAAACTATTTCACTAGAAGAGTAGTGAAGCATTGGAATGGGTTACCTAAGGAAGTAGTGGAGTCTCCATCCCTAGAGGTGTTTAAGTCTTGGCTTGACAGAGCCCTGGCTGGGTTGATTTAGTTGCGATTGGTCCTGCCTTGGGCAGGGGGCTGGACTTGATGACCTTCTGAGGTCTCTTCCTGCTTTATGGTTCTATGATTCTATGATCCTGGCTGGTTTGGCTGGGAAGCTGTCAAGCACTGGGATTTGGGTTGCCCCTCCACCTACTGTCATGCTGTTCCTGCCCTCTGCCTTGGAGCTGCCCCCTGCCTTGCTATGCAGGGTATGAGAGGGTGAAGGGAGGTGCTGATGTCAGTGTGTCCCTCCTCCCCAACTTCTGTACCCTATCTCCACACAGGGAGAAGGAGATGGAGGGTCTTGGCAATGCAACTCTGTCACTCTCTCTCACTGTGTGTATCTCAGTCATTCTTGCAAACACACATTGTCCTTCACTCTTATCTTCTGACCCAACATATATGTGGGGGGTTGCTGTTACTACTTTTATTGCTTGCAAAATGGGTTATTTTTGGGTTCTGACTGGTCAGTGCATTTCATAATTTTCATTTCTCTCTTACGCTTAAATTTCTTCGAATAGTGAGTTCTAACATGCCTAACCTGTCCTGGCTGGAGTCATTATCCCTATCATAATTGCTGCTCCTGGAAGGAGCTGGCATGTCCTGCAGCCCCTGAGAGAAGCAGAGCAAGGGGTCTCCACATGCTGTCTTTGCCTGGAGGCACAGCTCCCACAACTCCCATTGATCAGTAATGGGGAGCCATGGCCAGCAGAAGCCTTGTAGATGAGGGGCAGGCAGCAGATGGCACCATGGAGCCTTTGCTGTACATGCCAGGTGCTTTCAGGCGTGGTGCAGGGCCAGGGCAGAAGCTGTCTCTGTTAAACAGTGCCCAGCCAGAGCCTGCTTCCTAAACCCTTGTCCCGGCCCTGAACCCCTTCCTGCACCCAGCCTCCTGCCTCAGACATGAGTCCCCCCGCACCCAAACTCCTTCCCAGAGCTTGCACCCTGAAATACCTCCTAGACCCCAATCCCACACCCTGGGCTAAGCCTGGAGCCCCTCCCACACTCCAAACCCCTTGGTCCAAGACCAGAGCCTCCACCCCAACCCCCTACCCCAGCCTGGTGAAAGTGAACGAGGCTGATGGAGGAAGGGGAATGGAGTGAACAAGGTGAGGCCTTGGAGAAGGGGTGGGGCAGAAAGGGTATTTGGGTTTGAGGTAGATCTTACATTGCACTTACATTGAAAAAGTGATCTTGTGGTTAAAAAGGTTGGAGACCACTCCCTTAACTCCATTCATCTGAAGAAGTGGCTTGTGTCCACGAAAGTTCATGATACCATCTACATTTTTTGTTACTCTAAGGTGCTACAAGCCTATTCACTGTTTTTGAACTTTTCCTTATTCATTTTCTCCACACCAATCATAATTGTATAGATCTCTATCATATACCCCCCCTTACTTTCCTCTTTCTAAGCTGAAAAGTCCCAGTTCATTAATCTCTCCTTGTATGGCTGTTCTAAGACAGCGGGTTTTTTTTTTTCGAAATAGCACTTTTGAAATGGCGCCATAACGTGAATATGCAAATGAAGTGCAGGATATTTAAATCCCAGCTTCATTTGCAATTTTGAATGTCTACATTTGCACCTCTCCCTCGAAAGAGGGTGCAAGTGTAGACATACCCTTAGTCTCTATCCCTTTTTAATGATTCCTAACATTCTGTGTGCTTTTTTGACTGCTGCTGCATATTGAGTGGATGTTTTCAGAGAACTATCCACAGTGATGCCAAGATCTTGGGTGGTAATAGCTAATTTAGTCCCCATAATTATGTGTAGTTGGGATTATGTTTCCCAATATGCATTACTTGGCATTTATCAACATTACAATTCATTTGACATGTTGTTTCCCAGTCACCTTGTTTTGGGAGAGCCTGTTTGAAGCTCCTACTTAAGTCCAAAACAGACTGCTATCTTGAACAGTTTAGTATCATCTGCAGATTTTGCCACCTCATGTTTACCCCATTCTTCAGATCCATTTCTGAAATATGTTGAATAAGATTGGTTATAGTACAGTACAGACCCCTGCGAGACACCACTAGTTACCTCTCCCCATTTATTTCTATCCTTCGTTTCCTATCTTTTGAATATTTTGGGGGAATAATCCAATTGATAAACTAAGGGGGCATATATTAAACATTTACTTTCAAGTTTTAAATAGTTTCCAGGTATATTCAGAGAAGCAAGATAGCATTTTAGTTAGTTATGTAACTATTTTGTATATTCAACCAAATAGTAGCAAAGCCATGGTTTTTTTTTCTTTCCTTCCAAAGGACCGAAGTTATAGTGGGACTTCTTGTTGGTTCAAGTGTCTGAAAGTCTTTAAAAAAAAAAAAAAAAAAATCAATTTGCTAAGTTTACGAATTTGAACTCTTGATAGATTAGACTCCAGACCAGTTTGCATTCTGTTGTATGAGCAGAAACAATTGAAAATTATTTATATGCATGGTATCAAGTTTGTAAAATTTTATAGTACAGTAACTAAATACATGGTATGTGTTCGCTATAGGTATATTTTTGTACAGATACTCAACTCATAAAAAACAAACAAGAAAATATTTTAATGTCCTTTGTTTTTTTTATTTAAGAAATGTCAAACATGGTATTAATGCAATGTGAACATTTTAGTTTAAAACAGAGTCAATATAGAATGGTCGTATAATTAATAACTCAGCCACAGGGACTATTTTGGATTAGTAATAAGAAAATAAGTGAGTTCTGTTGTGCCTTGCATGTGCATACATACTTCTGATGAGAGTTATATAAAAGTAGCCTGAGGAGAGCAAGGCTTTTTTGTGTGCAGTGCTGGTGAATTAAATTTATTATGAGGAGTTTGTCTTGTTTATTCTGAATGGTACGTTTAACATGAGAAGCTCACTATTGCATTACTGTAAGGGTAAGCTGAAGTGCTTGAAAAATAGTGCATTTCAACTTTATCATCCCCTCCACTCATACTCAAATTAAGGGTGTTAAATTGAGATTATCTGGCTAATCGTGTAGTTGATATAATTTGTACTGACTACACAGTTAATCAATAATGGGCCACTCTGCAGAGCTGCAGCAGGGGTAGCTCCCTGAGCCAGCTGGAGCAGGCTCCGGGAGCCACCTGCACTGCATCTCTGCATTTTAAATGTAGTAAGAGCCACCAGGCTACATTTAAAATGCAGAGGTGCGGTGTCCTGGACCAGTGCAAGCCAGGAGTGCAGCCCCCGTTGGACTACTGCTCCTGTCCATGGCCAGAGGAGGGGAAGGAACCCCTTTTCATGGACAGGGGAGGGGAAGACAGACCTACGGAGACAGTACTGGGGGGAACTGGCATTTAAACAGGCTCCTCTCCCTCACCTCTTATACAGAGGCAGTAAGGGTGGTGGCGGGGTGTGTGTGAGTAGTCGAGTACTCCACTCTGCTTCCCGATAAGCTTATGCATAGTTTGGAGACTCAATAGCTATTTTGGAGTCATCATGGGGAACTCACCATTCTTTGGTGTTCTGTACAATTTCTCTTTACATTTCTCATCTACTCGATGAATTGGTTATTTTTGTAAATAGGAGATTATCCAGCATTGCTAGGATCATTAATTAATTTTTATTTTCCAAAAAAAATGAAAAATTAAAATATACATGCTTCATTTAAATCATTTCTGTGGAGTGGGGTTGGTAGAGAGGAGTTCAGTGTGCAGGTTGCCTCATTGACAGAAGACTACTTCAGCCCTCTGTCACCACAGCAGCTTGAGGTCAGGTGAAAAATGCCTCTTCATGGCTGCTGCAGCTCCATGTTCATCTGGCTGGGGAGTGCAGTGGGCAGAGTGAGGAATGCAGCAAACTGTGCACTTTCCCCTCGTTCCCTAACCAAGAGCCTGTACAAACTGGGCTTCAGCCCCCTGATTTCCTATCACCCACGTGCCCTTTAGGGAAGGAGGCTTGGGGCTGGAGCAGTCCTGGATGGGGGAGAGTAGGCACCTTAGCCAGCCCATCCCTTTCACCTGCTTGGTGATTGATTGTCACTTTTTGTATGGTTTTCTGAGAAGCAAACCCATTCCAGGTACATCCCATTTTCCTGACACATGCAAACCCTTACTTGCTTTAAGTTATGAGAGGAAGCTGTATACCGAATTTGGTGGTCCTAGCTCTTACCATCAAGGAGGAGTTCTTGTACACACAGATACACATAGAGATATACTCTATGGACTAGAACAGTGATGCACAACCTTTTTTTCAACCATGATCCCCCTATACTTGTGTCGCGACCCCCCCAAGATAATGTGAGCTGTGCGGCGCTTAGATCCAGGCAGCTGGGGACTGGACCCAGTCGTTGGCAGCCTCCGCAGGAAGACCTCAATGGGTTGTGCACTAGAAAATATGTCCCATTATACTGTGACAGGGTCTGTGTCGGTCAGAGATTGTTGCCTAAACTGCTTTTCCTAGAATACAGCTTGAACACTGATTATTTGGAAGTGATGTTGCTCCATATAGTGTCCTATAAATTAGCAAAATATGTATGCATGCTTAAGGATTTAAACCTTTATTTCTTCACAGCTCCATCAAGTATGTTGGTGAAAGATGAGTATGTTCATGACTTCGAGGGACAGCCATCATTATCTACTGCTGAAGGTCATTCTGTCCAGACCATCCAACACCCACCAAGTAACAGAGCTTCTACTGAGACTTACAGCACCCCAGCTATGTTAGCTCCTACTGAGTCTAGCACTACCAGCAGCACTAACTTTCCCAACATTCCTGTGGCTTCCACAAGTATGGTTCTTATCTGGAATATGAAATCAGAATACTGTATTTGAATATCATAATATTTGGTAGTCTCTCAGGTAGACATTGCATAGGAGACTTGCTTTTATTTTATCAAAGTAACTAAGATAAAGTGAGATACTAATGTAGTCCAGTCATCAATGACCTGTTGCTCTAAGCTGTTAAAATGAAATTTTACTTGGAGCCTAGAATTTGTATCAGTTTTTTTTCTATTAAGGCCCCCCTCTCGCCCCAGCTATTAAATTTACTGGATTTTATAAATTACAAAAAATGATGAGACTTCTTGGTAAATTCTTACAAATATTATTCATTATTGTGGTATTTATTATTTGCTCTCGATGAGTACTAATTAGTCCTGAACAACTGGTGTGGAAATGGAAAATTTCAGTATCCCATTAAATTAGCAGGAAGGAAAATAAAACTGGGTATATGAAGAAGTACTTACACTTTTTGAAGCTAACAGGACAACTTTTCTAGTTTTTTTGGGGGGGGGAAGGGGGGAAGGGTGACCACTTGAGAAATAAGCCTGTAAAAATTGCAGACTCCTAAAATCCTCACGAATACATTGGAATGCCATATCTAATTTTTCTTAAACCCCTTGCGTGAATTTAGCCAAGTGGAAGTGCTGAATTGATCTAGTCATTACATAGCCCTAGAAAAGGAAATCCTCTGTTTACTTAGGTCAGGGAATAGCGGTATGCAAAGATCCCCATGCTACCTCAGTAGCATCTCTCAATTCTGGCCTAGGGAAACCTTTTGGGGTTTGTATCATTCCCATCACCATAGGATCATGTTATTCAAAGGGTGTGAAAATAGTTTAGTCTCCATTTCTTTTCAGTCTTTAATGCCTGTACCAAGTCCATGGAAATCTTTTCGAACAGAAGTATTTATGGGGTTGAGTGAAGCATGCTGCTTTTTCTTCATCTTTTAAATGAAGCCTTTAGCTTCTCTTCTTTCCCTGTCGAACATATCCAAACAAATTTGAGTAAAACAAAGATATGTTTTCATTTTAGCAAATAAAAAAGTGCAGAACATCCCCATCATAAGATATTAAAGTAGGCTGTCAGAATAGAAGCAAAATTAGCTGAAGCTTTCTAAGGTTCTTTCCTGCAAGAAATACATCTATAAATCAGGCCTGTCAATCAGTTTAATCATATCATTAAACAAATAATAGAATACACATTGAAATTTAATATAAATAATGTGTTTTCTACATTTTCAAATATATTGATTTCAATTACAGCCAAATACAAAGTGTACAGTGCTCCTTTTACATTTTTTATTACTAATATTTGCACTATAAAAAGAATAAACAAAAAACATTTTTTTTCAGTCACCTCATTACAGGTACTGAAATACAATCTCTTTATTTTTTGTTACATCACTCAAACAAAACTTTAGAGCCAACAAGTCCACTCAGTTCTACTTGTTCTGCAAATGTAAACAAATGCATTTGAGCAATAGGCTGGAGACAAGTCACCTGAAAGTGAGAACAGGTATTCACATGATATTGTTTTAGGTGGTGTCCTCAAGCTATTTGTCAGATGCACTAAAGATCCATATGTCCTATATGCTTCAACCACAATTCCAGAGGACCTGTGTCCATGCTAATGATGGATTCTGCTCAGTAATGATTCAAAGCAGCGTGGAAATGCATGTTCATTTTCATCATCTTTGTTTGATGCCAGGAGCAGGTGGTTGATTACCTATTTTGGTGCTTCAGGTTCTATAGAGTCCACATCAGAGTGTTGCTCTTTTAAGACTTCTGAACGAATTCTTCACACCCAATCTCTCTCAGATTCGGGAAGGCGCTTCAGATTCTTAAACCTTAGGTTGAGTGCTGTAGTTTTCTTTAGAAATCTCACCTTGGTACCTACTTTGCGTTTTCTCAGATCCTCAGTGAAAGTGTTCTTAAAACAAACAACATGTGCTGAGTCATCATCCAAGACACCTGCAGCATGAAATATATTGCAGAATGTAGGTAAAACAGAGCAGGAGACACACAATTCTCCTCCAAGGAGTTCAGCCACAAATTTAATTAACACATTACTTTTTAATGCGCACCATCAGCATAGAAGCATGTCCTCTGGAATGGGAGGCCAAAGCATGAAGGGGCATACAAATATTTAACCTGTTTAGCATGTAAATATTTGACAATGCTGGCTATAAAAGTATGATGTAAATGCCTGTTCTCACCTTCAAGAGATGCTGTAGGTAAAACAGAGCAGGAGACACACAATTCTCCTCCAAGGAGTTCAGCCACAAATTTAATTAACACATTACTTTTTAATGCGCACCATCAGCATAGAAGCATGTCCTCTGGAATGGGAGGCCAAAGCATGAAGGGGCATACAAATATTTAACCTGTTTAGCATGTAAATATTTGACAATGCTGGCTATAAAAGTATGATGTAAATGCCTGTTCTCACCTTCAAGAGATGCTGTAAAGAAGCAAGCAGCATTATCTCCTGTAAATATAAACAAATTTCTTTGTCGTTGCGGTTGACTGAATAAATAGAACTGAGTGGACTAGTTGGCTCCAAAGTTTTACATTGTTTTTTGGTGCAGTTATTATTTTATACATAATTCTACATTTGTAAGTTCAACTTTCATGATAGAACTTGCACTACGGTACTTTTGTTAGGTGAATTTAAAAATACTATATTTTTTATGGGGCAAATATTTGTAATCAATAATAAATATAAAATGAGCATTGTAAATTTTGTATTCTGTGTTGTAACTGAAGTAAATATATTTGAAAAAGTAGAAAACATCCACAAATATTTAAATAAGCTGTATGCTATTTAACATCACAGCTTTTAACTGACAGCCTAACCGTAAATTATAGTAGCTTTTTTTTAATAGCCTTGATAATTGGAATGTGTTTCCTTCAGTAGGATTGTGCAATTTCCCTCTTATAATAAAACTGTGGAATATTTATGAATTGGAAGTATGTTCTTTCTAGGTCAACCAACCAGTATATTGACAGGTAGCCATAATGATGGACTATTACAGATTGCTTCAGGGCCTCAGCCAGGAACACAACAGAATGGGTTTACAGCTCCGCCAGCTACTTACCATCACAGTGAGTATACATGTTACATGCAACTTTTTAGTTTTCAAAAGCCTGTTAAATGTTCGGGAGAAAGAATTTTTTTTTAAAAAGATGGATTAGCTCCCTTAAATGCAAATAAATCCAGGCCTTTTTTTCTTTTAGATAGTACAACAACTTGGACTGGAAATCGAACGGCAGCCTACACACCTACTATACCTCACCACCAGAATGGACATCTTCAGCATCACCCACCTATGCCCCATCCTGGACATTACTGTAAGCATTTGTGTGTTTTTTCAAATTGCTTTACTTTTTATGCTGTCATTGTAGCATGATGGCAAAATTTCTTTTGGGACTGCCCTGCATGTCCCACCCCAGCACAGGTGTAAATTCTATTAATTATAAAACTGTAATAATTGTTAACGTATTTCAGCAGTTAAATATGAAAGTTCCATGAGATTGGGTTCCCTGTACTTTGCATCAAAACAGGCAGAGCAAATTAAAACGATAGTTGTGTTTTAAAATGCACCATCCAGTTTTGTACTTAAAAGCCTGTCCTGTCCATATTTCCCTTTTCAGACTCTGTTTATAGACCTTTGGTTTGAGTTCCTTGTTTCAGATCCTTTACTCTAAATATGGTAGGATTAGAGTAAAGTATCATTTTTTTTAATGTTACAGAACTTAAATTACACTTTAAAAGAAGTATTTGTCTATGTGCACTGAAATTTAACTATAGGCAGTCCCCGTGTTACGTACAAGATAGGGACTGTAGGTTTGTTCTTAAGTTGAATTTGTATGTAAGTCAGAACTGGTACATATTGTGGGGGAAACTCTAGCCAAACATTTCTCCAGAGCTCAGTTTTATTCTCCCACATCTCACTTTCCTCAGTCCTTTATTCTCAAGCTGAGGTGTCTGCTGAGAAAAGCCGCTCCGCGTTTCCCTGGTCTGCTGAGGGGGATGGAGGGGGACGCTAGCTTTGCGTCTCCCTGGTCTACTGGGGGGAAGCAGCTAGTGGGGGGTTGCCTCACCCCGTTTGTAAGTAGGGATCCGATGTAAGTCGGATCCATGTAACCCGGGGACTGCCTGTATTGTAAAAGTTAAAAATCATTGCTGATTGGCCTCACTACAACCCAATTCATGTGGACATTTGGCACATAAATTTGCACTAATAACAAAACAAACATGAAAATGGTGTTTTTTTTTTTTTTTTTTTTAAAGATTCCTAGTGAGCTTTTGGCCTCAAGTCAAAATTGATTGATTTTTGTTTTTCCATGTTGTGATCTAGCTGGTTTGAATGAAATCAGTAGAACCAAAAAGATATAGGAGATTAGATGGCTCATCTAAGAGCTAAAAGTGCAGTGCGGAAAGGACAAACAAGAAAATTAATTTTCCTTGTCCTTTTTTATGAAATTAAGTAACCTCTAAACATTGAGATAAGTCTGGATTTCTGATTATTGTACATATAAATTATTCTGTTTGCAGTGGTTATGCTCTGTGCTTTATTCTTGAGGGGGAGATAAAATCAATGATTGCATTAAATTACGTTGGCAGTTTTCCTGTATAAACAAAAAAAAAATTCTTAAGTTTTATATGCTCCCTTCTAGCTGATTCCCTCTCCATATTCCATTTTGTTTATCTGAAGTACTGGAGTTCACAATTATTTCTTGTGCTTTAGTTACTCATAGATGTTTTTTCATTGACTTGGCTTTGTAATGTAATATTTTGAATTGTCTATAAATAATTCTACATGGGTGGTGGTACTCCTGGGTTTTCATGTTGGCCTCCTGCTCTTCTCACTTGGGGCAGTTTTATCTATTGACATCTACTAACTTTATTGATCCATTTGTCACTTTCTCCCAGAATCCATTGAACCTTTGTCCATGATGCATATCCTGAATTTATCTTTAAGATGACATATTTATTCCTGTTTTGCTGTCTAAGACTCCTAGCTAGTTTATAATAAAAATAAAAACAAATTATTAAGTTAATCATGCTTTGCCAAAACTAATCTCTACTGACTTTTGTTTTTAGAACGAGCTTGTCTGGTCCAAGCTCTGACCACCTTGTCTGTTTGGGAAGTGCTTAACGTATTGTGGACTGTACCAAAACAAAATTGTTATAAATCTGTATCTTCATGAAAATAAATTGTAATGCTTTTTTTTTATTATTATTATTTTTTAAAGGGCCAGTTCACAATGAACTTGCATTCCAGCCTCCTATATCAAATCATCCTGGTAAGTGCTTAATTCTGAAGAGTTGTTAAAAATGCAATGGAAAATTTAAATTTATGCCGTACAGGCCTGATCTAAAGCCTTGTGTCACCTATCTCAAAAGGCGTGCCAAGCATATGTTACAAAGAAATAATACATTTTGAGATCACACAAAATGACTAGTGTCTGGAAATACCAACAGTTAGCATTTAAAGGCTCATACTTTCAGATAATGGATTTTAAATAGAAAAACCAGACTTGTAAGTTTAAGCAATTAGTGGAGTCTAAGCAGGTACAGTTTTGCAAAGAAACCTAGAAAATGACCCAACTTGCAAATGCAACGTAGTATACCAACATCATAATGATACAGTTTGTCCCATCACACAAGTTACATCGTTTGTATGATTTAAATTGTAACTTTTCCCCCTTCATTGGCCTTTTCCAGCTAAAGGAAAACTAGCAACTATTGAAAGCTGAACTGATAAGACAGCAGTGTTAATTGTACAAATGTGAATTTTTATATAATCCACATGCTTCATAATTAAGTATTGTTTCATCTCTCTGTATATTAAACAGATCTTTTCCTGTGAGATGACAGTGATGTCAGCATGTCACTCTGCGTCATGCAGGAAAAGTTTCCATCCTGCTGCCCCTCTGCCATGCAGGTTCCTCCCCCGCCTTCCTGGCAGCTGGGGAGAAACCAGTGCAGCCTCTCTCCTCCCCCCAACTGTCCAGGGTGACCGGCCCTGGGTTGGCCGCTCCTTGAAGTGCCAAGGAGAATTGCTTCTTCAGCAAGCAGCTATTTCGGGTCCGGGCTGGGCGGATCATGATTGACCCACTTACTCAGCGGCTTCATGAACCGGGTGCTCAAGTAGGGTTGCCAGATGGTTGAAACAAAAATACCGAACCCACCCCCCCATTGTTTCCTCCCCTCCCCCCAAAAAAAGCACCGGGAAAAAATTCTGTCGGGGGGGGGGGGGGGGGGGGG